TAATTTTAATAATAAAATAGAATTATTTTAATATTTTATTATGCCTCATCCATCACAATAAAACATGATATAAAAACAATTACTTTGTATTGTAAATTATTAGCCAACACAATTATATTTTTGTTTTCATTTTTTTTTCTATTTCCACTATTTCTATCTTTTATGTTTGGGATAGTAACCAATTGTCCTGACTCTTTTTTTCTTTAAAAAATCTCCTCTCCTGGTCTCCTTTGTCTATACTGGTTCCATGAATCTACATATTTTTTCTTTGGCTCCTTTTCAACCATCTTATATTCTTCACTAGGCTTTCAGGTTCTAGGGGTAGCTGCATGCCTGGGCTATTTTCTTACGCTGTTGATGATGAACCCTATATAAACCACCGTAATTTTACTTTTTTCAACTTTGTAGGGTGGTTGACTGATGATTATACTTGTGTTATAGATATCAGATATGTCACTGGCAGCTTCCAAAGATCTATATATCTGGGCAGTGCCCAAGAAATTTGAAAATACGAGGAGCATAAAATATACAATTCATGAACTATTTTCATAAAAGAAATAGTAGGATATAGTGAGTGCTACATGTATTTAACAGAGTAGCCTGAATGATTTCTGTGAAGAGAAAGACAAGAAATCAGACTGAAGTTTCAGAAACACGAATGCTGCGTAGCGAAAAGCTGAAGCAACTAAACGAAGTGTCCAAGTTACTTTTTGCGAGAACTTATATATGAAGCGGGGAATGTTTATAAAAAAGAAATACAACATAGCATAACTTTGTTTTCTCCGGGATACGATCGGAATGCAGCTTTCATGCCCGTCTTGTCGATAGTACCAGGCTTCCTTTCATTTCACTGTATAAGATCTGCCTTCATTTACAGGCTATATAACAAACAACTTTTGAAGAAAGAGATCTCGTTTTTCGAACTTCAGAGATGTTTCTTTCTTCTCTGGGATACTTTTCGGCAGTTCAACCTGGTTTCTTTCCTTTTTCTTTACAGGATTTTGGAAGAGCTGATTTGTTAATTTTCTGCGCTCATGTTTCAATAGGGATATCAATGAAGAGCAGGAATGACAAAAAAATTGGATCAGATAATACTTCACAGAATAAATAAGAGTAAGGCTCTACATACATATTCTAGGACAAATGATACTGTTCTTGTGTAATTTTTAAGTGGAGGGAAATTTCTGCGAGAATAACAAGAGATAAAAAAAACTTGGGATTGAAGTCGTGCATTGAAAACAGGGATGACCAACGAAAGAATGCTGTGATATAGAAAATAGATAACTCTGCTGCAGATCTCCTTTTCAATTTCTGGAAAGGAAAGAATAAGCGCTCTAAACCAGAATTAGGTCATAAAACCTCTGCTGCAAGCGATTCAGTTATTCTGGTATATATAGTAAATCAACATGTAGCAGGTGACAATGACAGAGTGATTCTGTAGTAAAATGCTTTGAGTAAATGCCCTTTTTTTAGCTCCCTGAGGAAATAGCGTCGATAATATTGCGAGGCAAGATTAAGCCGTCATATCATGTGCTGAATAAAAAAGAAAAGGAGAGAAAGGAAAGGATATGTACTCGAAGAAAAGGGCTTTCATCAGAACCTTTCCACAGTATATTCATTGAGGTTTCACCAACAAAAATACAACTCCTCTTGAAAGTGATCTAGACTGCGGTAAGATTCTCGGGTAAAGTAAGATTAATGAATATATTTATGAACAGGAAGCATATGGTAAAGGAATTATGGACTGTAGTAAGGTTCATTGGCTTTAAATGCTTGAATTTGATGTTTTTGATTTATTAATATATAACACGATCTTTCAAAAATCAATTTTAGAAGAACTTTTTACTTTTTACCATGCCACATGGTAAAGTAAGATTGTTCTGTTGCTTTTGGGATCTTAGAAACGTATCTCCATCCTTTTCCCTTTGGCCATGTATTTGCACATCTCCATCTTGAAACAGGAACAGAAAGAGTCAAGGATAAAATAAACGGTGGTCCTCTGGTTCCTCTTGTGGTTTTAGGTTCTTGGCATAGTATTTTTCTTCAAATTCTAATAGGAGATTAGATACAAAACAAATGGCATTCAGCCAATCCCAATAGATATTTGATAAATTAACTGTTTTTAATTACGTTGTGGAGCTTTCCATTACTACAGAACTTTTAACGAAAGATCAAAATCGCCAACCTTATTTTTGTGTTTTAGTGGTACCGGATCTTTCTTATTTTTACATGGAAAGACTCTGCATTTCCCATAGTCTCTTCAGGCCTCAGGGGAGCATGAGTTGCAGCTCTTCGGGTTTGCTGACAACATGCTTAATTGGTTTATCCGTAGCTGCATGCGTGTTGCGTATTCTGGCCATGGTTCTTCCAGTGATTGAAAAAGGCAATGTTCGTTTTCTCTAGGACACAATATGCTCAAAAGCAGTTCCAACATGGTGTAGCCATCCAAGTTCTATTTTGCACTGTCTGGAGCTTTGGGTATGGCTCTTGCTGTGGATAATAAAGAAAGGTATTTTATTAGAATGCCTTCGCTTAACTGGTTTAGATTTTGATCATAGAGGTTTTTGTAATTACTTTTGTGGTGATTTTTAGCGGTCATATTCATATTTCATGCACTAGAAATTTACAGTTTTCTGCAAGGGATCCATTTAGGAACGGCAAAATCCATTTTGTGCTGTGTTTCTTGTGTTTGAAATTTACTGCAATGGCGGAAAGTTCGGGCATAATCATGCTAGAAGTTTGACCAACGCCTCGGGCTGGAAGGGGGGGCCTGCAAGGAAATGTTTTTCCCAGCCCTTTTTTTATTAATATTTATAATTTTAATAGTAAAATAACTGAAATTTTAGTTTTTTTAAAATAATTTTTTTAATTTGACCCTTTAATTTTTTTTTCTTGCTCCGTCACTGGATGATAGTGTGAATTGCCTGCAAGGAAACGAAAGAATAGGGTAATGCGAGCAAGCTCTTTCCGTACGTATTTCAAGTAATTTTTCTGTATGCTATATATTTAGATCTTGGAATCCTATCTAGCCATTGACATGAAGGTTTTCTTTTGGAATGACACATTAAAGTAAGCTACAGAATCCTCCATGGCGTCTTTTAATTTGGTGGCGTCTTTTAATTTTGCTGACAACATACTTGGAATCTCTTATATATATATATATATATATATATATATATAAAAGATTCCAAGTATGTTGTGTATATATATATATAACACGAGTAAATATTATTTCCCACGTCACTGTTCATCATGAGACAAATAATTATTGATTTTCATAGTGATTTTTTTTTTGTTTCATCTTCAATAGCCAAACTAATGAGCAATTAAAATATATTTATTAATGAAAAGACTAGAAGACTAAAATGAAATTGATCGAAAAAAATGAATGGTTTTTTTTAAAATTATAGTTGATTGTATATTTTAATTTTTTAACATTTTGTATATTATGAATTTTCATTCCTTAACAATTTATAAAGTTAAATTTAATCCCAAACTTTATTTTATTTTTATTTTTTAATTTTAATTTTAGAGATAGGAGAAAGCAGTTGAATTTAGATAATAGAAAGAGAAAGACTAAACTTGAAAATGATTTTGGTTAGTAAAATGAGTAATTTTGGTGCTTAAGAGTTTTTTTTATGTGTAAACTTTATATAAAATGTTGTTTTTTATTAAATTCATCTGAAATTGTAGATTTAAACCCAAAAATAATTTTAATTTTGAGTTGATTATTAGTTTTGTAGATAATATTTAAGTTAATAAAAATTATATATATATTTTACAAGGTCTTAATTTTTAGGAGGTCTAGGATATATGGGCTTTTCTAGCCCAAGAGACTTAGTTTTTTTTTTCCTTGGTCACAATTGTTTTTTTTTTTTTAGTTTTATTATTTAATATTTAATTAATTATTAATTAGAAAAATATCTATTTTAAATAAAAAATAAAAAATAAAATTTACATATATAATTTTTTTAAAAAATATTTAACTTATGTGAAGCACGAGTGAAAATAGTGTGCGTGTGTGAGTTCCGGCAACATCTACAATGACTTTGTTACTGTAATTGTCTTTATTTATAAGCTCCATGGACACCTTTTCTTTGTTTTTTTTTTTTTTTTTTTTCTTATCTCATAATGCATTCTAGATTGGAATTTTTATGCTTCCACTTCTCAAAAGTATTCCACTAACATGCTTTTTCTGTAAACCTACCTCGAAGTGACACGTATGACCGCCTCCTCCAAACAATTCCCGTCACCCAATCTCTGGTATCGGATTGTGTGTTATCAAGCCTGGGTAGTTTCCATGACCTTCCCTATGCATCAGAGCCGTCAATCTTCTGACATAACTGGGACCTATCAAGATAGTGTTTGAGATTGAATAAATTGTTACAATTCAAAGTATTTTTTGAATTATTTTTGTTTGAAAATATATTATATTAAAATAATATTTTTAAAAAATTTTAAAATTAATTTTTGATATAACTCATCAAGATAATTTAAAATTTAAAAAATATTTAAAACAAGTTACCCATAATATACCTTAATTCTATTACAATCCTGAATAATAGCTACGTAAGCACGCATCATGTCATTCTATGAAATCATCTGATGAGAAAGGTCATTATATAAATAAGAGTGACAAGGTTGATAATACCCTTTATGTTACTCTAATTCTCCATTTAATTATCTAAACTTCTAGTAGTAATATCGAGTCATTATTAATTAGATTTTTCTATTTTTAATTATATATATATATATATTACAAGTACAAGAATCTATTTTTAATTATATATATATATATATATATATTACAAGTACAAGATTAATGTGTTGGTAATAATCAAAATGAAGATATTAGTTGATGGAGGACGAAAAATAAGTCTGGACAATCATGTGTCAGTGATAATTTATATCAAAGATATGTCACAATGTGGTGCTAAATTACGATATATTTGCATGCAAGATTCTCAGATGAGCGAAGTATCATCTCCATTTTGACAAGGTACCATGTTGACTTTTCCTTTTCCAACTTATGTCGTTAAAAGAAAGAAATCTCAAGGTAGGAGCAAGGCAGATACACCTTAGCAAGGACTTGCAACCTCATCAGATAAAGTGACTGCCTGTGAATCATTTTCTTTATAGGCTTTGGACATGTATCATGACGTGTAATAGCGGCAGGCTTCTTTGCCTTTTCTGAAACTGCTCTGTAAATAATATATATATATATATATATATAAAAAACCCAGCCCAAGGACAAAAATGTCCAGTTAAAAATCGAAACATATGAAGGGCCAAGAAAGCAACAGAAAGTTAATAAGAAACCCTCATTATCGAGTTCTGTGAGATCTGCAGCGAGCAAAAACAATAGCGAAGACAGCCCCCTCTCCTTCTTCCCCTTCCTCTTCCCTCTGAAACAAAAAGCCTGCTCTCCGTTGGATCTAATATACAGACACAACAAGTTGCCCTGGTAACCATATAAACCCACAATTACTATCTTGTTCGAATATGAGGATTCGAAAGAACGCAAAGTTATCGTCTCTCGTGTTCTCGCACGGTTCAGGAGCTCAGCCACTACAGACGCATGTTTGCCTGCTTAACCAGTCACCATGGGATGTGATTTCTTTCTCTCAAGAAACTTATTACCCGTCTTCTTCACTCAGCCAGGTAAGCTTTCATTATGGAATGTCTCTCTTCATTTCTTTCATTTTTCTTCTTGTTTTGACAGATCTATCTAAACCCTCTCTCTATTTATCCTCTCTTTACCTGCATTTCTTCTTCTTCTTCTTCTTCCTCTCCTTCTTAGGGTTTTTCTGACATCAAACATTAGGGTTGCCTTAAAACCCTAAATTTTCTTGGTCTTGTCGTGTGTTCTTCCCCTAATAGCCGATTAGGTTAATGGGTCTTTCTCTGTGGTTCTTCTCTCTATCAGTTCGAAGGAGAAGATAGCCTTTATGGAAATGGTAGCTTAGGCGATTCTATCGGTGCTGTTGAGAGGTAATTTAATCGTTAATGCCAATTTTGATATATCGTATTGTTTAGCATTAGGGTTTTTGGAATAGCTCGATATTTTGGAAGCAATTGTTGAGACTTTTTTTATGGAATGGTGAGCTTGTGTCTGCGGCTGTTGAATATTGTTGGATTATATAATTACGCGCAGCGTGGCGTCGATGATGATGGAAGATTCGGAACAGAAGGGAATGATTAAAATGAAGGTCGATAATATGGTTATTATTGACGATAATCATGACAATGAAGGTAACAGGAGATCAGAGATGCTTGACGATTACGAAGGAATGAAAATAGATAGCGAATTCGAGCTAAAGAAATGCAACAAGACTGATGGCAAAGGTTGGCATTGCAAGAATGAGACTAGAAATGGGCTCACTATGTGCGGCCATCATCATCATTTGACATCTCTCAAATCATCATCATGTAACAACGGCAACATTAATGGGAGTGCCATTGCTACAAAAAAACCTGATAAGGGTACTGCTTGTATTACTGGGGCACGCCGTGGTCGGGCAAAGTCAGCTAAAAAAGGGTCATCATCCAACTCAAATCCGTATGAATTTTATTACTATTCTGGGTTCGGGCCGTTGTGGGGCAAGAGAAGAGGAGATAGAGATGCAGTCAACAAGAATGAGGACAAAGATGTTGACAACGGCACCATTATTGATTCCATGACTCAAAATACGACACCGTTTTCAAGTTCTTCGCCAATTGAAAATAACCGGCAGTTTGATTATGTCGAGGAGGAGGACGACGAAGAGGAGGATAGCGGCAAGAAACGGATGCGGAAACCCGTGAAAGCGCGGTCCCTAAAGTCTTTTATGTGAAGAGTTTGGAGGAGAGGCAGGAGAAGAGAAGATGCTGTGGCTGCTGCTGGTGCTCCAATTTTATTTTTTTTTGAAATTATCGGGGGTTATCTATTTATTTAGTTTAGGGTTAGGGGAGTTTTTGGTGATAATCTTGTTGCACGTGTTGTTGTGTTTTGCTATGTGTGAAATTAATGTTTTCTCTGTAACATGACAGTAGGGAAGGCTGTAGGGTGTGTGAGTAGCTAGCTGACTTAGAGATTGTGCAGATCACTTGATTGAAAGGGTAGTAATGTAATTTCATTCTCTCGTTTTATCTTTTTCAACAGCTGTGGATTGGAGTGCATAGATCTTTTAAGATCCGGAGCATCTTATGATTGATTAGATTAAGGGAATTAAATTAAATGGACTTCATATTGTGTAATTTTTTCATGCATATTCTGTAATTCTTATAAACAATTGAATTCTCATCATAAATAATAATAATAATAATAAACCACAAAAACAGAAAAAATCCTTACCGGAACGCGAGGGCAGGCAGCAACATGATGCCCGTTTATTATCATGCTACTTTGAAATCAACTGAGCTGACATTACTTTGCGACTTAAAAACCCTAATTTAGGGTAGTAGTAGGAGGGACTTGTCTTTTTTCTCTGCACCTGGATTCGAATCTCATCATGCACGCCTGTCACCCCCGCGATACCTTACCTACTCACTGAGCTTGCAGGATGTTCAGTGGGTCGTGGGAATTAGTCGTGGTGCGCATAAGCTGACCCGGACACCCCACGTAAATCAAAAAAAAAAAACCCTAATTTAGGTGGTTAAGTTACTTCCATGATATTTAAATAAATAAATCATTTTTTTTTTTTGAAATTATGTCTCAATCCAATCTTAAAGGTTGAGTTTTGTGGCTCTCACCACCTCACACGTTTTTAAAAAACAAATCCTTGACTTTAGGATATCAATCAAGAAAACTTTTGAGTATTATTATTCATTGCTTATTTCTTTCGAGGTCACCTTTATAGGTTAAGAAAATATCAAATATGAGATTAAATTTTAGATGTGAATTAACCTATTTAACAATGCAACGGATGGTCTCTTCTCGCCCCATATATATATATATATATATATATAAACCCTAATTCAGGGACAAGACTAGAAATTCAGGAAGTGCCATTTGGATAACACATGATTTTTAGGTGCGAAACATGTACTTCCTGTATACTACTTTTTTTAAGGATATAATTAAAAAAAATTAAAAATATAGAACTGAAACGTGATTTGTTTTCGAAATCTGGGTTCCATGGCCCCTCGTCTTCAATGCAGTTCTGCCCCTAGCCTCGTTTTTACTCAGCTTTGACAATGAATGTGTTGCAACGGGTTCTCCTTAATTGCCATTCAACCCGGTAAATGTGTCATAGAGAAAGCGGTGCATTATATTTTTATATATAAAAAAATACCAAATCATATAAGAAAATATTAAAGAACAAACTGAAAAAAAAATTAAAATAATAAAAAAATTATTCAAGATATTATGTCAAATTCATTCATGATCCAATCATGAAACTAGAATAACAACATAAAATAAATTGAATAAAACAATAAAAATAAATTTTTAAGCAAACTAAATGATGAAAAGTGAAACTACAATAAAATTAATTAAAAAAAATATGAAAAAAAATAAGTCAAATTGAGTCAACTCGATTTAAGATATAAGACCAGAATAATTTCATAAAAAAATAATAAAGTTCAAGGCCTAATAACATAATATCGAATATTAAAATTAAAAAATAATTTAAAAAAACTAGAAAGAAAGATTAAACTTAAATAAGGTTAATTTTAAAAACTTGTAACCAGATAATGAAATTGAGATTACCTTATAGAAGGTAAGTACAAAAAAAATTACGAAACAAAGATCTTGATCTTCCAAAATTAAAAAAACAAAACAAATAGTAATTAAAACAATGAAGACTAAATATGATATAAAAATTAAATGGAAAAAAATAACAACGAGGGACTAAATTAAAAAAATAAAATAAATCAAGAAAATCATAAAAAAAAATAGCAATCAAAATAATGAGTATCAAATTGGATATAAAAATTAAATAAAATAAAATATTGAAAGTTGAAATTAAAAACAAAATTAATTTTAAAAAACATTAAAAGAAAAATAAATAGTCATTAAAATAATACAAATCAAAATTAATACAAATATAAATTGACAAGGTATATTTAATTTTTGAAAAGGCTACTATGAAATCTAAGACAAGAAGAAGAAAAAAAAGAGATCAAAATTAAATAAAGTTAATCTTAAAAACTTGACAGGATATATTTTTTAGTATTTAGAAAAATATTCATTTCATTTCATTGTGTAGTCAAATCGTTAAAAGATTAAAAGTATATTGGATAATAGTTTTATTTTTTTTTGTTCTTGAGTGTATTTAAATTGTTTCACTGTACATTCAAAGTATTAAAGAATTGATATGTCCTCCTCGATCAATATAAAAACAACAAATACTCCAATCAACAATGTTTTGATGCATGATAAAAGACATATCTCTTTTAGCTTTTGTTTGAATAATATTAGTGATATCTACGAGAATGTCATTATAGTCTTGGTGATGTTATTTGATTTGATTAATTGCATAGAAAATTGCCAAAAACTTTATTTTTTTCTAACTTCTGTTGTATTTCGAACCTACAATTTATTTCCTAGTGGTTACTTATTATTTCATAAATTAATTCAAAAAACCTAACGAGGTCATGTAGTGTAATAATTTTCCAGAAAGCTATTATTCATCAATTTGAAAGAATAATAATAAAAAAAAGATTTGGAATCAATCCTAAAATAAAAGTATCGAAATGGTATTCTAAATTTGAGTTCACACATGCCTGGGATGTTGGGGCT